TATATCATATACCAATATATCTGATGCCCTTCAGAATTTCTGGAGTTTCTGAATGCCAACACACCTGGAGGGTTAACAGAATAACAGATTTGGAAGGGACCTTGGAGGTCTTCTTGTCCAACCCCCTGTTCAGGCAGAAACCCTATACCATTTTGAACAAATGGCTGTCCAATCTCTGCTTAATAACTTCCAGTGTTGGAGCATCCACAACTTCTGGAGGCAAGTTCCAGGTCAAGGAATATAGCTACACACTCATGGTACTCTATAACTTTCAAGATCAGCCCCATGATAGTTCTGTGACAAATAGGTTTTTCTTAGTCCAAACCAGCAACCAACTGGGCTATTAATGCCCAGTTTCTGTTCGTAGAACTCTTCAGCACCTTCCTGCTGCTCTTACGCACTAAGGCCATCTGCTGGTCAAACATCCATGTGAAATCCATCTGTCACAGTATAATGTCCTAAGGCATACAAAGTGAAGGTAATGCTGGAGGTGCTTTGGAATGGTGGAAAGGTGATCTTAGAAAGAGAGCCTTCCACCCTCTGCACTGAAATTAATTTCCCTCATCCTGGATTGGGCTGGACTGCTGAATAACATCTTTGAAACACAACTATCTCTGGGCGATAAAACAGTTATTCTCAGCACTTAAATAACACCTAACACTTCACTTCAGGTGAAGGCAACATAAGCAGTACCATTTAAGATAATTTCACTCATAGATAATAGGCCGCCAAAAATATTTCACAAGGTCTTTATTCTTCATTATGTTTATGGTATAAGGTAAACAGGGAACAGTTACTTTTTATGGTCTCTCTTCTCCCCCCATTACCTTTTGGCCTAAATTCTTGTCTAGTAATTAGAGTCTTTTAATTATTTATGACCAGCTTTCCCCAAATCGGGTGCTTTCCAACTATATATTGGCTTTCAACTTCTCCCCCTCCGGGCTACCTTGGCATGCTGATGGGGAGCTGACTGGCCTTTATAATAATACACATCAGAAGTGTGCCAAATTAAAGAAGCTGGACTTAATCACTATAGAAATCAGTAAGCTAAGGGCTTATTTGTCAGGGTTTAGTATCACATGGGTTTTGACAACAGTCAAGACACTCCTAAACTTATACTGAGTACAGTGTTTCACATTAACATAAAAGGACCAAAGGCATCCAGAGGGCCTTTATTGCCGAGGGATGCAATTTCACCACATAGGTTGCTTTGTTGTGGAGCGATCACTCTTCTTCCATCTTGCCTCCTGCAATCCAAACTTCATTCGACTTGGAGATGCCCTAATCCGGTTTCTAAAATAAATTCTGAGAAGTTGACTTTCCTAGATAGTGATATTGATAAGGCAGCCACAGAAGGGCTTTGAGACTATTAGGGCCAACAGCAAGTACCCGCTGAAGGAATGAAGAGAAATCCTAGGAAGGATGTCATCAGATGAAATTGTTTTTCTGAGACTATATAGCAGAGGTATCAAACTCATGTCACGGTGGCGTCATGTTATGTATCGGACTTTTTTTCCCTTCGCTAAACTGGGCATGGGCGTGGCCAGCACATGACGCATCCGGCCCACAGACCAGGAGTTTGACAGCCCTGCTATATAGTAACATGGCTGTTTTCCCTGACTGCTTCCCACTATCAATGTACCTAATGAAGGAGATGGGTTTGCCTTAACACATGCAAGCAACTTGTTGTGATGACCCGAGGCGTGGCACAAAGGCAACACAGTCACATAAATAAGAAAAGTCCCTATAATACCTCCAACTTTGCCCCCAATGTCCAGTTACTGGAGAAAAAAACTCTCCCAAGAACAGTCTTTAAGTGGAAGAAATTCAGTATGAAAATAAAGTACATATAAACTGTAAATAAAAATCCACACAAACCACACTGCAGCAATTAACTGGACAGGGCTGGATAAGGAATTGCAAACTTCAAAGACCAACAAAACAGTTGGATGATGCCAGGAACCCAGATAAGCCTTGACAATAAAAGATAACTCACAATTTGCTTCCAACAACTTGCTGAGCGCAAACTCCCTTTTTAAATACTGTGTTCCCAGCTGCAGCTAATGAAGGGAATTAGGCCCCTTTCCTCCCCCTTAAGCCATGCAACTCATGTTGCTCCCTTCTCTGTTCCTCCCTGTGTGCCCTAGGATGGGGTGGGCCTAGATCTTCCTCTGAATTCCCTCTGCCTTGCTCTACCTCTCCTCTGCTCTGCCCAGCTGGACTGTGCCCTTTCCCAGTTTCTTCCACAGCCAATGGAGCCACACTCCCTGTCAGCTGCTCAGCCTCCCCCTCAGAATCAGATTCCAACAAGGGCATGACACTTGTGGAGGATTCTATAGGATCCGTAGAAGTCATATCTATGCAGGCCCTTTTTGTGTTGTGCTTTTCTTTCCATACTGCTCTGCTCCTCATCAGAGCAGAAAAAGGATTTGTACAGAGACATTCTGTTTGCATTATAGGTTTCAATTTGCAAATTAAAATCATAAGAGCAGTGAACAGTTTGGCAGTTTCTTCTCATAATGGCGAATTACAGCTGGCATATTGAGACAACATTGCCTCTGATGCTACATATAAAGTACATTTACAGTCATTATGATTGGTAACCACTGATTAAATTAATTCTTCATGAATTTACCCAAAAAACCAAGTGGACGACTAAAATTTCCAAAAGGCTGGAGTTTGAGATCCTGATGTGACGCCCAAGACTAATCTCAAATCCCACTAGCCTCCCTGCTTTAGCCTTTAACGGATTATTTCCATTGGACAGGAAGTTCATTCTGGAAATCAAAGCATCAGTATGCTTTCTTTATAAGAATACTCTGGGACCTATAGGCATTTTAAAAGTTAAAATGATGGAAATCTGCTGTCCAGTGCTTTCTTGGAAGGGTGCCCACATGCTAAGGAAGAAAAAGGAGAGAGGGAGAGAAGTACACTACATCAGGATCACCAGGGAACATCCCTGAAGGCTGCGGGGGTAGCAAGGAGCCAACTGTCAAGTTTGCAGCCTAAAAAAATAGGTGTTTTGTGACTGGTTGCACCCACTATAGTAACTATTTCTGGAACAACTCAACCCTTGATGAGAACATGATGCTATGTGAGTGGCCACAAGATGCTCTTTAACATTCAGGATTTGGATTGGAAACCTCTGTTTCCTCTGAAGGACTTCGCTTTAACTCTCCCCAATTTTGCCCCTTCTGAATCATTAGCTGCCTGGCTTTTAATTTCATGTGAGAGGGAGCAAAGTGATTCCCATCACACCATTTGCACAATTATGTTTGGCAAATTTTAGCAATATGCCTTCCCTTTTTTTTTTCCAGGCCTTAAAAAAGAATTTACAATCCTTTCTCATAAAAGAACTGGCTGCTTTCCCCCCCAAATTCACAGTCTCAATTTAGAAATCTGGCAACGAAAACTGTATACAGTATGGTATTGTTTTCACCATTTTATTTTCAGTTGCTTTCCTAATGAAAACAAGGAATTTACCCTGTTCATAGTCATTACACTCATTTAAACTTTTGTTCCATTTGTCTACCTTAACGCTTAAGATTTTTTGGGCCAGTCAGGACTAGCTTTTACTCCAGCAGCATCCAGCTATGTATAATTAGTTTATTATCCCAGGAAGCATTGCTTTACCTTTGCACTGTAAATTTCCTACACTGAATTCTGCGTGCCACTCTCCAATTTAAATAGATTGTGTGGAGGTCCTTGTTGTTTCTTTGCAATATACCAGTCATACAATATCCAAATAATTTGGCATCATGAACACATTTGGTAACTTCTACTTAATTCCCAAATTAAAAAAAACAATTTCTGTGGTAAATTCCTTCATAAAAATGCCCACTTATTGCAAAGAGGAGTCATGGGTACATGAAAGTTAGCATATGCTATTAGATCACCCACTTGGTTTTAATTTAGCATGGTGTGGTGTGAACTCAACCGTGATCTAGAAATCATGGTTTATGGTTTAATGCAATGAGTAAGCCTAACTATGGCTTATCCAAGAAATCATAATTATGTCTGAAACTGTGACTGGCCATTATGAACTCCAACACATTCACTTGGAGTCAGTGACCCGTGACCTCTTGACTTCGTCCTGCTTCATTGAAAAGCCTTGCCTTCGGTTGCACAGAATGAAAACAGATGTGGAAGAGATGGCCAAGAGTACTTGGCTCCACTCTGAGGTACTCATTGTAATGCTAGTTATTAGCTCCATAGCTTCTTGGAGGATCTTGAAGAGAAGTATAATAAAAGTGCTTGGGATTTAAGTCCATATTCCTCCACAGATCCAGCCAGCCCAAGGGGTCAATGAAGCCATCTATTTAGCATGCCCGGTTCAATACTAGGTTTTTACCAGGGTGCATAAAGCGCACCAACGTGCCTACGGTCCCTGTCCTATTGTTTCCGTTTATTTTTCTTATATGTATCCATTTCATGTATTCATAACTATGTTTACTTATACCTGTTACCTTATAATCGCAAATGACAAATGAAATACTGAGTGGAAACATGGAAACAGGAAAAGGGTTTTTTTTTTCCCCCCGTAGGGCAATGACTAGTCTCTTCGCTCGCACCCAGGAAAAGTGCCAACGGGAGGCAATATTTGCCACTCAGGCTTGAGCCGTGGGGGTCGGTCCTTGGTGCTCTGTGAGCGTGGTGGTTTGCTTACAGACGTTTCATTTACCCAACTAGGATACTCCAAGGGCTCCCACAACGCGGGAGGAAAAAGCCGAAAACAGGCATCTTTGGGCAAAGGATCGCACCCAGGTTCCCACATCAGAGCTCCTCCGCGCCAACTATAAATATGCGCACGCCCCCTTCCTCCCTCCCCCCCACTCCGCCTCCTCTGCACAGCCTCGATTTAACCCGCCTCCTCTCTTCTCTTCTCCCTTTTGCAGTTTCTGATTCGCAGCTCAGCTGAACTCCCACATCCGGCCGGTCTTCGATCCCAGCCTCTCTCATGGGCTCCCCAGGTACGGTATTGCGGTGGCGTCGCGCCCTCTCGAAAGGTGACGTGCGGCGGGGTTGGGCGCCTCTTTTGTCGCCTGAGCGGAGGGCGCTCCGCCCGCTGCTGCTCCTCCTTGAGAAGGGTTTGCGCTCCAACAGCAGCGGGCCTCCTTGCCACATATCCCCGGAGCGTTTACGCCTCGAGACTGGAGGAGGAAGCCGGTCCCTTTTCTTGCACTGCTGGGTACCGTCGCTCGTCTTTAGAAGGTCCCGCTTATCCTAGGTAGGAATTTAAGGCGACGACGAGCAAGATTACCGGCTCCCCCTCCAGACGCCTGGTGCATCTGCTTTTGTGGCGTTGCATCAGGTCTTTTCCCTTTATAGGGGACAGCTGGCGTTTCCATAGACCCTAAACACCCCTCCCCTCCCCGCATAGCTGGCCTTGACGAGGCGATTGTTTTCCATACCCGGTTGCACAAGGCTTGGGATGATGGGTGGGGGCGGGGCGGTGTTTTAATTCCCACATTTTGCAACTACCAGAGTATTTTGGGAGCAAAATTAATTTCCGTTTGCGTCTTTTAAAAGGTTGCTTTTTAATAACCATTTCTAGGAGGAGCTTTTGAGGTGACCGTTTGAGAGCTGTAGGCAATGAAATTTCATTTGAATGTATGCCGATTAGTGTACGTTTAAAGTGACCATAAAGTTATTCTAAGTCACTGTTGGAATGGAAATTCCCAAGGTACAGAAAATTCAAGGAAAGGGAGGAGGAGCCTGTGTAACTAGTAATTAACATAGTATTTTAATGAAAATTTAAAATCTCCCCTTGAGTAATGTTTCAGGTAAATTAGTGCCATCATGCAAAAATGTCTGCTGCAAATGGTAACCTTTGACATTCTCCATGGTTTTATGGTAGTTTTCTAAGGTTGTAATAAAACCCTTACATGTATAGCTGCTAGAGTATAGCTTAGTGTCTTGTTGAGAGCAAAAAAAAAAAACATGTTGAAGCTGATAAGTGATCTGCTCAGGTTAGTGCTGTATTTTATTTCCCCAGCCAGATATCTCTAGGGAAATGTAGGAGCAAGACAGAATGCTTTCCAATCTGCACTTCATAGCAATAGCTGTTTGGAAAAACTTGCAGAACGAATGCCCAGCTATGAAAACTCAGTGCCATCAATAGGGTGAATTTTCATGAATCTGTTTAGGCAAGGGCTGGCAACCCCCGAGGGTCAGGGTTACTTAGCATTCGAATGGGGAACCAACTGGAAATCTCAAAGCTGTATGCTGTTTATGTATAGTGGAGGTGAATTCCAGCATTACCTATGTGCCATAAAAAGACATGTTTTGCTATTCGCTGCTTCAGCTGTTTTAAGTCATTTGTAGATAAGAATCCCTGGATAGTGAGACAGGAAGCATATAAATTTAATAAATAATAAGAAATAAATACCAATACATATGCTTGAAAAGTAAATGCTTAGTCTAAAGGATCAGCTTTAAAAAAAAGGCTCCCTTAACAGAAGCTTAGTAGCTATTGTATAAGGCTCACTGAACTCTTTGGAACTTGTCTCCAAAAAGCTAACATTTGGGATTTTACTAAGCCCACTGATTATGTTGCATCTACTGTATCTCTTTTACTCAGCCCAATTAGGCTTTCATCTATTAATCTCCCCAAGCTCCACTCTTAGACTATACCTCCCCAGAGGCTTTTAATTCTTTTTTTCTCCCCTTTTACTCATCATGGGCTGCTAGTGGGCTCTGATTACTTGCAATGTTCTACTAAGATGTCACAAAGTCTCTTGCAAAATACTGGCTTAGGGGTAGAATTTTGTAATACAGTCTGTAGATTTCTTTTGGTCTTAGGTGATCCTCAGAGATGTTCCTTATTTCAGACTTTTTTTGGTACAGCAATGTTTACACTTCAATCATCATTTGAAAATATATATATATATTGTCTTGAAAGATAGCTGAACTGAGAGATGGACTGATTTTCTGATGTAAGCTGAGATTTAAACTGAAAACATTCATAGATATCCCACTGATTGCTTACCAGTGCAGGAATTTATGGCAGTCCAGGGAAAATGCAAGAGCTTTATGTTAACCCACCATCTTGTAAGAGAAAGTAGCTCAGTAGCACCTATGCTTTGTATTCAAAAATAAAATAAAATTCCGGGTTTGGATTTTGGAAATCCGACTAAATATATACAAGATAGAGAGATTTTTGTCCAAGATATTGGAAAGCAATTTGTTATTGACACTGAACTAGCTAAACTAGGATTGACCAGGTATAAATTAGATTTCTGGTTAATTGTTAATTATCCTTTGTCTTCATATACAAAGGAGTGTGTAAGGTGATGAAAGAGGAAAGAATCCATATTATGCAAGAATGGATTGGTCTGTCAGCTAAGCCCATTCAGATGTTCACAACTAGTGTCTCAGTCTTGTAGGAAACTTGCCCTCTGGATGTTGCTGAACTGCAGATTTTAACAAACTGGTTCTACAGAGCCAATAACAAAGGGACACTAGGAATGATAGTTTAGCAATATCCAGACTCCCACATGTTTACCAGCCATGCAGTAGAAGTCTGCACTCAGGAATTTTAATGCTTGGGCCAAAGAAGATAAAGTGACATTCACATAATTAGCAATTGTGTTAATACAGTTTTTCTCCCTCCCTCCAATGTGAGAAGCAGGTATGGTAATTCTGATTCTGCTCACATATACCCAATCCGCTGGTTTATTTTTAAAAAGCCATTCTTGCAGTTGATAATGGGCTATTTGTTAGTCTACTTAGACATTCAGAGAGAGCTGAAACAAATGGATTATTCTTTTTGGTTCTATTTCACCCACATTAATAATAAAATGTAATCATAATCAGTCTTGGCCAAATTAGGATCTTCAAATGGGTAGGATTAGAGCGCCACCATTTTAACCAGGAGGGGGAAAATGAAAGACCTAGACCAACTTAATCCAAAATGTATAGTTTGGGGATCAGTACTTTCCTGGTTGGTCAGAGCCATTTTTCCTCTCTTCTCTCTCTTAGATTTGTGGTTTCTTCAAGTGTTTTAGGAGTTTGACAGAGGGCATATATGAACACTTGATTATGTAGGATGGATATACTGAATCTAAACAGTCTGAATTCAAAATGCTTCAAGATTTGATAATGGGAGTTGCGATGCTCAACAAAAGCAAAAATATTTTCCCCCCAAAACAATGAAACTATCCAATTTCTTGACTCTTCTAGCCAATAGAGATAAAGTAACCCAACAAGGGATTCTGTCTGGATGTATCCATTTGTACGTTTGCCTGGAACCACTTCAGTAACTGTGATTATTTCTCTCTTTCTCTCTCTCCCTCCCTCCCTCCTTCTCCCTCTCTTCCTCTCTCTCTCTCTGTCTTTTCAGTATCATTTGTTTTATCCAGGATGGCCGCTTGTGGAGGCACCACTAAAAATAGGCTCACGGTAAATAAGCACGTCTGGGACTTCCTGACCAAGGAAAGTCCTGCCAAACTGGTCAAGTTGAAAGAGGATAATAAAGTCAGTGTCTTGATTGATGGTGAGACGTCCGAGATCTATGTGCTACAGATTACCATGCCTGCCCATGGACCAAGCAATGGCCTTTACCTGGCTCGTAAGGCTCTGAAAGCACTGCTCAAGGAAACGGAGAAGGAATTGAAGAAGGCTCAGCGTCAGAGTGAGCTGATGGGCTGTATGGCCTTGATGGAGAAGAGCCGGGAACACGGAGCTGTAGAGCTCCACCGCCGAGGAGCTGCCTTGATATCCCGAGGACAGCAGACCTCCGGGCCAAGAGTAGTAAGTGGCAGTGGAGGGATGGCCAGCTGCTCAAGGGGAGGGGAGGAGGAACAGGACAGCCAGTGCCCCATTTGTTTGGGGGAGATCCAGAACATTAAGACTTTGGAGAAATGCAAGCACTCCTTCTGTGAGGACTGCATCACCCGGGCCTTACAGGTCAAGAAAGCCTGCCCAATGTGTGGCCGTTTCTATGGGCAGCTGGTAGGGAACCAGCCAGAGAATGGACGCATGCTAGTCTCCAAGGACTCAAGTCTTCTGCTTCCTGGTTACGAGAAATATGGCACCATCATAATCCAGTATGTCTTCCCCCCTGGCATACAAGGAGTAAGTTGGGTTTCTCTTTTCTTCTTTCTGTTGTTTGGTAATGGTCTTCACAGGGTCATTTTCCCTGTTCTGGAAACTTCCAGCTGTGCTTAGACTACATCTCCCAGAACCCTCAGCTTCCATGCAGGACTAGTTAGGCCAAAGTCAGAAGCAGGAATCCTTTCTCACTCTTAAGGACTATGTTCCTTCTTAGGGAATTTGTTTGAGGACACGTTGGAACTAAAGTGAGCAATAGTTGAGACTACAGCAAAAAATCAGTTAGGACTTGTCCTCTTTTTCTCTATGACACCCTCTTCTTTCTAAACATCAGGCTGGACCTCTAACTTGAGGCTGTTATTTTTTTCCCCCTGAAGAGTTTTCAGATGAGGTCAAAGGCTGCATATTCTCCAGGCATTGGACTGAATGGGTTGGCACCAAACTGGAGAAAGCAAACGATAGGGAGAGAATTGAGAAAAGAGCAAGATGGCCCTAGTCACAAATGGCTGGAAAATTCTGTCAAAAATGGAGTTGAACATAACAGCATCCCCTATACCAGAATGACACCAGGTTTTGTATGGCAATGCATGGGTTGTGTGCCAGCAGTGGGCATGGCCATAGTGCATTGGGAACACAGAAATATTTGTTTTTAAGAGAGCATTAAATCTCTCCGAGGCATAGGGGCATCCATTTTAACCACTCAATTCCATTTCATGTAAACAAAAAAGGTTGAACTATCTCATCTTCTCTGGCCTAATTCTTGGGACCCCCAAAGAAAGCTGGCAGGCCATCTGTAGTATCAGGTCTGTTTATTTAAATTCCTGCTCTACATAGAAATTTATTATGACTTATAGGCTGCAGGAGAGAACAAACGGTGTCAGGACAAGTTTCCATCACTGTGGTGTCCTCAAGTACAGTGATTTTATTTCTACACCAAAAATAGTAAATGGTGAATGTCTACTGAGGGTTTTTTTTAAAAAAAATAATGAATTCAGGAATGGGATTGGATTGAATCTTAGAGTAGGATATTTTGTTAGGCACATAAATTAACATTGCCACCTTCTTTAGTGAACAAATCTTCATGACTTCAAAATTGGACCTTATCCAACAAAATGGTATTTATTGTTGACAAATGCAAGGCTCTGCCATGAGGTAGGAAAAAAAAAAGATGCCCAGATAGAAGATAGACAGTTCTTGACTTGGGAGTGGTGCTTGTGAGAAGGTTCTGGGAATCTTGCTGCATCACAAATCAAGCATGACCCACCAATGTGTTGCAGCTACCAAAAGGGTCACTGCAATCTTGGGTCACAACAAAAGAAATAAAATATTGTGATAACAGGGAGTGATAGTTGTGCTCTGTCTTGCACTGAACAGACCGTATCTGAAATTCGGTGTCCAGTTTTGGTCATCCTAATATGTGAAGTACACAGAAAGAATAGCACAGGTGGTGAGTGGTTTGAAGGCTAAAGAATGGTTAAAGAAACTTAGTAAGAAGATAAAGATAAAGGGAGACTTGATAACAATCTTTTCACTACATTGGATGTCTTCAATCTTGACAGCTTTAAGACTTGTGGATTTCAACTCCCAGAATTCCTCCTCCAGTCAAGTTAGCTCAGGAATTCTGGGAGTTGAAGTTCACAAGTCTTAAACTTGCCAAGTTTGAAGACCCTTGCAATACATGAACATCAGACCAGAGGATATGGATTTATTTTCCAGAGCATCTGAGGGTAAGAAACCAGTGGGTGGAAGTTTTATAGTGAGACATCTAAACTTGAAATAAGTTGGAATTTCCTGACTCCAACTATTATTATCAAATTACTATTATCAAATGTTAAACAGTTGGACAGCCTAGCTCCCACTGTCATGATTGCTCCATCTTTGGAGATTTTCCAACAAAGGTTGGAAAACCCATTTAACTGGCTTGATCTGTGGATTTTTGCCTCGGGAAGAATAGGACAAGAAGCCTTTAAGGTTCCTTTCAACCATAGGCTTCAGTGATGATTGCGCTACCTTTTTGGCATCCTATTGAGAGGAAGCAGATTAAATGGATTGGCATTTTGTTCTGAGTAGACATGTAAAGAGAGGTGGCCAATTGGCCATGCTGGCTGAGGAGTTGTAAGAATTGTATTGTAATCTCAAGACTCTGAGAGGCAGCAGGTTGGATAAGATTATATTAAAACTTGATAGGATTCAAGAGTAGGTCTTTAAGCCATCCTTTCATGTCTTCCCGAAGACTAAATCTGTAGGTATTAATTGTAGAAAGGGATGTAACTGATTAAAATACAATAGAGGGGATTCATGACTGGTGTTTTTTTTCCAACAATATACAGTATATGGAAGTGCTTTTTTCTGCATCTCCCCCTCCCCCCCCCCAATTTCCTAGTTTAGCCTACAGAGGTGGGATTTCTATCTCAGCATTAATCGGATCCGAGCTTGTTTAGGGTTGGTTTTTTTAAGACTAGCCAAGGAAGGTTGCTGTCAGACCTCAGTGAAGTCACTTCAAAGAATCCATGAAGGTTTGTAATAATTGGCAGAAAAACCTTAGTTTTATTTTTAATCATATATTTATACCCTGCCTTCATTATTTTACAAATAAGGCAGAGAACATAGCCAACATACCTTCCTCCTATTTTTCCTGCAATAAAACCCTGTGAGGTGGTTGGGCTGAGAAAGAGAATGGCTGGCCCAAGGTCACCCAACTGGCTTTCATAGCTAAAATGAGACTAGAACTCATCATCTCCCAGTTTGTAGCCTAGTGCCTTAACCGTTGGACTAAACTGGCTAGTCTAATGTCATAGCTTCCTGGCCTGTGTCATATGCACAATCTGGTTCCTTTAAAAATGGCAAAATTTAACATGCCATATGTTAGGTTAACCAAACAGATGACAGTTATTAACACTGATGTTTAGTTGATACAACCTTAATTTTTAAAAAGGTAGAATTCTTTAATTCTGGTTTTGCTGACTTTTTGGACCTCTCCAGAAAAACGCTGCATATCTGAGGGCGAAGGAAGCATTATGTTATGGGGAGAAATATTTCCTTATTTGTGAATTGGTTTGCTCTTATTGAAGGAGAGCAGGATCAGCAGACAGTAAATGGAGAAAGCAGTTACTTATCAGGAAATAAAAGGTGCCATTTTGTGATGTTTGCCTGATGCTTTTTAGAGTCTTCTGTAAGTAAAAGGAGACAAATTGAAAACCAGAGGCCGGAAATTTATGGTTGGCAGGTGGGGGAAACTCTCCTATGTGCAAATAAAAAAAGATGTGTGAAAGCTTTTTATGAAAACTGGCGGGGCATAGTGATGTCTGTGTCAGATTAGGACTGAAAAAACTCAGACTGAGCACTCCCTAGGTGATTCTGGGACAGTCATATCCTCTTCACAAAGCTGGGAGTTGCGAGAACAAAATGGCCGGGTGGGAGAAGGGGAAAAGCACAGCAGGATTGCCACCTTCAGCTCTGGGAAGAAAAGGTGTGACATCCAGGTAAGAAATAAATGTGCCAGGAACTAAAGATGCTCAGTGGCCTACATTCCATAGTGCCAACTGTTTTTCAAAATTCCTGAAACCGCAGAAGGATTTGTTAGGTAGTGCAATTCAAGCCTGAAGCTACTTGAGCCTTCAAAATCAGTTGCAAGGATCCCTGAAATCTTTCTTCTCTAGAGTTTAAAAAAGTTGTGCAAATGGCCTAGATTCAAACGATTCACCTGCAGAAGAAATATCTCCATAATATTCTTGCTGTCAAACGTCATGGGATTCCGCAGGAGGATAAGGACATCTTTACAGCGTCAATATTTTAGTTTTAAAAGGGTAGTGTCTATATTTAGGACATATGCTCCACAAAAAAGTAATATTCAAGAATACGCAGGGGCATTCGGGGAGACATGACCAAATTTAGTTATTGCCTTGGATGAAACTATGAAAATGATAACTCAGGACATAATTCATTCGCTGAGCTTTTTTTTTTCTTGCTGAGCTGATTGGGTAAATTACTCAGAATAAGTACTTTATTTTTCTTGCTCTTGGTAGGTAAGTGCAGGTCACATGTACATTCTGTAATTAGGTTCAGTGACATAAGGAAATCAGAACGAACACAGCCAGAGAGAAAATGACAAGTGTCTCACAAGCGAGACCCAGTTTTTGAATACTAGTTGGTCATGCCCCTACTTTCTTGATAGCAGGACAGACATAACTTGCCATCTCCTGGATGTTTTTCAACTTCCCAATCTAGACAGTAGCCCTACCAGTCGCCAATACCCAAATTGCTATTTTTCAGGTTGGCCAAGGTCACCGGAGATGTTCCTTCTTACTATGAAAAGAAATTCTAAATCTTCTTTGATATTCTTTGAATTCAAGATGAATTCAACTTTGAATTCAAGTTATTAGAAGATTACCCAGGGTGTTTAGACCTATTGTTCTTGAATCAGAGTATTTCCCCATTCTTTTGACAAAGTGGCCAGAAGGCAGACCAAAGGAGATGATCTATCAGGATGATACCTTTTGAAGAGAGAACAGCAGAATGGAAATACCCTGGGGGGAAATTTCAGAGTAGCCCTGTTCCCTATGGCCTCATTGGTATTTTAATTGTTTGCCTTTTGTAGATTGGTGAAGCTGTATATTTTTCAGTTTGATAAGAGCATAGAATGCAAAGGGGAAGGGAAAATGAGCAGGCAAGCCAAGGAGTACTGCATGGCCATTTTCTCAGGGAATAGAAAGGGAAAAGATAGTTGATATAGTCACATATTGTACAGTGTTATAGCTGCAGCCGTGGAAGAATTATCATCTATAGCAGGGGTCTTCAACCTTGGCAACTTTAAGACTTGTGAACTTCAACTCCCAGAATTCTTCAGCCAGAAAAGCTGCTGAGGCATTCTGTGAGTTGAAGTCCAGAAGTTTTAAAAGTTGCCAAGGTTGAAGACCTCTGCTCTATAGTAAAATATCTGGGAAATTTTTTATCTAAATAGGGAAGATTTTGGATTGCCAAATGGTTAAGAAAAGCAACATTAAAACTTGGTTTGATTCTTTCTCCTGCGAGCTAAATTACAAGATTGAAATGAGTAAGGGCTAGGATCACAGATGAAGGAGGACTGGTTCTCAGAACAAGTTCCCCAACTCTCTTTTTTGTTCTTCTCTAGATTCTGGCTGGTGGCTCTTTCAAATTGAGTGAAAGCTACAGATCCCACAAATGTGCAATCTATCCATGGCTTTTAGCATAGCAGATAAATCCACCATTATTATTAGAATGGAAGATCCATATTAACATTTCTTTCAGATTAAGATCAGAAGAGTTGTTCTATATATGGCCAGAAACAAAAGAGTTAGTTTGATAGTTTAGCAGTCTTATCCAATCTTTGCATTTGCTAAACCACATATCCTCTTTATCAAGTATTTGGGGACATTAGGATGTGTAGCTCAAAATTTCTGCAATGCCAAGTTAAGTAGGACTGATCTGTTGAAAAAAAATGTATATTCATTAAAATATTAGTCATTTTTGTAAATTATACATAATTGTATTGGATTCGATTTTTTTTTCTAAAAAGAGGCAGGACCACCCCACATTTCACTCTATTAACCAAAGCTATTAAAGTGAATAACAACTTGTGTTTCTGTTCCTGCTACTCCCCTATTTGTAGACTCAGAGTTCAACCTTTTTCAATTATATGTCCACATTGACTTTGGGAGTACAATTGGAGTTGTGGGGAAAATGGCAATATGAACAAGAACTATAGTCAGCCAGGTACAAATAATAAGTTGTTGCAGGCTGACTCAGGGTTAGTCTAGGAGATTTCACCTGTACCGTGTCTTGACTTCCCAACCCATAGGTCAGTTTCTCCATCTCTTGTTTGTAGTTAAGTTTTTTCCTCAGAATTCATCCTTCTCTTGCAGGTGGAACATCCCAATCCTGGTGTCCGCTACCCAGGCACCACCCGTGTGGCTTACTTACCTGACTGCCCCGAAGGCAACAAAGTTCTGGCACTCTTCCGCAAGGCCTTTGATCAACGGCTCACCTTCACTATTGGGACCTCCATGACCACAGGGCGAGCCAACGTCATCACCTGGAATGACATCCATCACAAAACCAACTGCACTGGGGGACCCCAGCTGTAAGGGCTTGCCAACTGGCTGCTGTTAAGAAATCTAGGAATTGAAACCTCAGTGTTGCAAAGGTTGAGAAACACTGGGATGCCTGCAGTGGTGGGCTGCAATTTTTTTAACAACTGGTTCTCTGGGTAGGCGTGGCCAGTTGGTCATGTGATTGGGTAGGTGATGTCACTGCCATTTCAGGCAGTTTTTCAGGCTGTTTTTCCAGCCCAAAATGGCCTGAAAACAGCCCGAAAAACAGGCCATTTTTTCAGGCTGTTTTCAGGCCAATTTTCAGGCTGATTTTTGCCCAAAAAACTGCTGAAAATGGCCCAAAAAACAGGCAGGGGCAGGGCCATCCAGTGATCCAACTTGCCAGTTCTCCAAACCGTGCAGAATCAGAACAAGGGGTTTGGGCAAACCCGTCCAAACCTTCAGCAGCCCACCCCTGGATGCTTGTGGCTGTGAAGCGGAGGGAATTAAAATAAAGGGGGAGGTTTTGGAACAAGGGGTTGCCAAAGGGAGGGGTTAATAGTAAAGGCCACTTGGAGCTCAGTAAGGTCCTGTGAAAACCCAAACAATAGCATGAAAAGGTACCAGGCTACAAAGTCCAGAGTCAATAAAGAGCAAGAATGCTATTTGATCTCAGTAGGTTACAAATAGAAAACAACTTAGTTGTATCATTGGATATCACCAAGAACTTCATAGAATAGACGTTTATGCTAAATAATACGTTATTTTATCCTCACCAGGAGCTTTTCAGATATACAGCTCCAATGTCACGTCTTCTTGAAATGCTACAGTCAGGATTTTTTTTTTAACTTGACGTGCATATTTATGTACCTTCATTCGCACTTCAAGTTGATCATTGTGGCATATAGATTTTTTGCCTATGTATCTTCGCAGCAGCCTTTGAGATAGAAAGAGAAATTATGAACTGACCTTAGTGATTGAAAGGAAATGGGAACCTGTTCTAACCCGGCATTGTTACATTATTCTATTGTTGTTTTTTATCGTTCTGCTTTGCATTGGATCCTTTTCAATATATTTTGGGTGCCCGGTGCCGAGGAAAGTTTTGATTAGCCAACGTTGCATTATGAACTGAGCCTGGGTTTTTTGTCTTGCTTAGACCGGCTATATGATTGATGCACCAACTAAACCTTTTCTCAATCAACCTGCAGAAGTATCTGACTGTGGATATCTTTCTGTTGGGGAATAATTTTCCACATCAATTTATTTGGCAAGAAACCTATATATCCAGCAGGATCCAGAGCATAGCTATTGTTAAGAATTCTAGGAATTGGAAGTCCACACATCTCAGTGTTGCAAAGGTTGAGAAAGACTAATCTAGAAAATGTTCTAGGACAGCCTTACCTGCAATAGGATAACATCTCCTATCATAGAAGAGGAAATAGCCAGCATACACAGAAATCATCATTTCAAGGAAAATTGCTCTGGGATGTGCACTTGCTTCACACTGGTCTCTTTTGTGCCTCTTAGGTCAGTAGGGTCACAGCCTAGAGCAGATCCAGAAACCTTCACACATTTGAGGGAACGGGAGTCAGCAGAGGCTAGTTAAGTATTTTAATAAAAGGAAGTTGTCCACTGAATTTTTCCCAAAGCTTTCAGAGAAAAATTAAACCACTTTTGGGTAACTTAAAACTGCCAGAGTTTAGATCAAGGACAGTAAGTTCATAAACCTTTGTCTTCATTTCCCCCAGGTTTGGCTATCCAGATCCTACATATCTTGCTCGGGTGCAAGAGGAACTACGGGCCAAGGGTATCACCAATGACTGATCTCTGATGCCACATGCCCAGGAATGGCTTCGTGTTATTCCCGAACTCCGCTCTTGTGGAGGGAGCTCCGTCATCCGTCAGAGCCAACTATATCACATGATCTTAATCCAGAGTACAAAGCTTGAGCTTTGGGGCTGAAATTGACATTTTGTATGTAATTGATCGTTTGAGGAACTGGAGAACGAAGACGTGAGGCATGAGAGTGAAGCAAGAAAGATGATGGAATTTAGGACTCACTCAAAATAGTTGTGTTAAGTGGGCCGTCATGCTGAATGATTTGCTTTTGGAAAAAGAGAAACAAACAAAAATGGCCTGTCCCTGCACCGAGTAGCAAACATATCATAGGTACCTCTACTGAGCCTGTCTTTTCAATGTGCTAGTTTACTTCATGCAAAGGAGATTTTTTTTTTCTTCTTTTACTGAGCGATAAATATATACATGCCACCACCAAAATTTAAAATCTGAAGCTGTAAAGTCCAGAATTCGCCACCTCAATCCTTTGGCTCTTGAGGATAAAATAGGTGTGATCAAGTGGTAAGTCCAAGGGTGATTTCATTTTTTTCCCCTTTTTAAAAAAATACAAATATGAAACGAGAGTTTCATATCGATTGAAAGAGCCAAACCTTCCTTTTCTTTACAGTTTTACTTCCCCACATTTTTTTTCTTCAGAGTTTTCTCTCAACCAAATTTGTTTCCGAGTTAAGCTGTGGATTGTGAGAGCATTTGGAAATCCTAACTTCCATTACTTTGGTATTAAAACACAGCTATCTCTCTCTGAGTGCTCCTATGATATTTGCCCTTAACGGACTAGGTCCAAATGAGTGACAAATTGTCCAGGTGCTAAAAAGCAATCCATTTAGAAAAGGTGGGTGGGAAATAGAGGAAAGAGATTCTTCCAATGTATCTCTGCAAGAGGTCAAATCTAGTCCCCAGACGTGGAACCCTTTTGCACAACCCTATTGGTCCACTCTCGTTTTATGCCTCACGTAGGAGAGAGCGTTCATATTCTGAGCTTGATTCCCAAGTATGGTTGAAACCCAGAGAGCCCTGTTATCTCAATTCTTCCATAACTCCAAGCTCCTTTCTCCTTTTTTCCAAAGTGCAAGCCACTTTGAGAATGGGACTGTGAGAAATGGAATATAATTCAGCAAAGAATAGCATCCCTGGCAGTAGCAGGTGTAAGGGGAGGAGGTCAAAAGAGGCTGCTGTAGCAGCAGTACAATTAAAACCCCAACCCCTTTGAGTCTGCATATGACATCACATGTACAAAAGGGGTGGAGCTTCAATTGCACCGTTGCAACTGCCATTCTGCCTTTATTGACCACCTCCCACCGCCATAGATGCCAGGGATCGTTGCAGCCTAGAGTGTACAGTGTCTAGGGTTAATGTCAAGTGAATGGGAAATGGGACAAATAAACGGGGTGTTTTATGTGATTTGGGATGGGATCAGAGTGACTGAAGAGCCTGGGTACCGAAGCCTGAGGCAGGGCTTGGACTTTGTACACGTTCCTTACTTGGTGTTCAGATGTACACCTATCCCCAACTTTGATGACTTGTGGAGCCCAGGTGTTCCCGCCTTGCTCATGCACTCCTGTGCTACTTTTTCTTCAGGATCTGTTATCAAGGCCAACTCAGTTGAACTTTCTTGAAATGTTGGGACATATCGTCTGAAATAAACAAGAAACTTCTTGATTCTGGACAGAGAGGCCACAATTCAAGTGTTCTCCTTGGAGTGGAGGATCAGCCGCCTCATGGGGCCACCCCTTGTGTATTCCTATGCTTCTTGGTTGGCATATCGACTCTCCTGTAATTATTCCAGCCTTTTCACTTGGGACAACTTGTGTTACTGGGATTTTAGCCAGGCCTTCTCTTAAATCTCTGGTGGGTCTGTAATGCTCCTGAATCTGGCACCTACCTGTTGAGTGTTTGGGGGAGGGGGAGGGAGGGAAATGTCTCTTGGCTAACTAAGCGTGTCTCCTCTGACAGAGATGACTTCTAATACTCAGTTTGTCTCGTATTGGTGAGAGCTTCCCTTGAACGCACAGTTTGGACAACGGGGCTTTCTTTTGCTGTTTTAAAAAAGAGTAACTGAACATGTGCCACTTGTTCTCATCTTTGTGGAATGCGTGTTTGTGGTTTACATATTTCCACCTATTTATTCAAAGGATTTTACAGTTTGAAATGATGGAATGTGACCCAAAGGGCACAATAAAGAGAGAAGGAAGGTGTGGGGGAGGGAGAGTAAAAAGAAATCGTAACCCCAATTGTTAAAACTGCATTAGATAATTGTCAGAACCACCATAAGAAGGGGGTCTTGGGAAGGGCATTTTTCCCTCATGAAACCAGCCAGCAAAGATGTTCTCTCCTTTCCACTGTGGGTATATCGACTGACTTCTAACAAAAGGGTGGAAAACGGAAACCAGACAAAACACCGCCTTCTCCCACTATGCAAAAATATCTGGCTTAGTAACCTATGAGTAGGTATGTACCGACCCATTTTAGCTGTTGTGTTTTAGGGGACTGCCAGTTTGAAGCAGGAAATGTTCCCCGGTTCTCAAACAAGTTCAGAAGCCCACTTTTATTAATGTGCAGTTTATTGGTCTGATAAGATCTATCTGCTGAAGTGAAGGAAAATCTGAACTATTGAACCAGAGCAGAAATTATTACAGAAAAACATTGCCTCTTGTGTTTTGAAAAGTACTTGTTCAGAATGTCTTGGTTCTAATTTTCTTTCCTTATCCAGCATCTTACCTTGTCCAGCATCTTTTAGATCTTAAAGAAGCAGGCTGCACAGTTGTTTGCCATGTAAACTTACTGAAATCAATGGATTTTTACTCCTGAGAACAGATGCGTAATTGTAGGCCGAGTGTGCTCTGAAATTGGTACAGAATTTGAAATATTTTAGAGATGGGGTATCTAAAATCAACAAGTCTGGTATCATAGGAAAACACAGAAATGTCCATTTTTCCTGTATCTGTCTGGACGTGTAATCCGGACCACCTTCAAGAATTAGATTCTTGCCTTAAAACACCCTTTCTATCCCTTATTATTGAGGTACATTTTGATATGGTACCATGACATTGCTGGTTGATTGCTTGATCCACAGTTCCGTGTTTTGTGTAAGAATCTTGTTTGGTTTGCTATTGCTTTACAGTTACATATTTTACAAAAACTCCCAAGGGTATTTGGTCAAAAGAAGCAAGGTGGTAGATGTGGCGTTGTGATCCAAGCTTTACCCCTTTTGTACATGTATTAATATTGCACGCACGTACAAAGGAGTGGGGTTTGAATTGCCTTGCTGCGTCTGCCATCTTGCCTGCTTTGACCCTCGCCCCCACTCCTGATTGTCTAGGCCAGGGGTGTCCAACCTTGGCAACTTTAAGACTTATGGACTTCAACTCCCAGAATTCCTCAGCCAGCAAAGCTGGCTGAGGAATTCTGGGAGTTGAAGTCCACAAGTCTTAAAGTTGTCACGGTTGGACACCCCTGGTCTAGGCCAAGGGTCTTCAAACTTGGCAAGTTTATGACTTGTGGACTTCAACTCCCAAAATTCCTGAGCTAACATGACTGGAAGAGGAATTCTGGGAGTTGAAGTTCACAAGCACATGACTGGAAGAGGAATTCTGGGAGTTGAAGTCCACAAGCTGTCAAGTTTGAAGACCCCCTGGTTTAGGCTAATATGTCTCAACCTTTTCTTCACTACGGACCCCCTTTACATATCTTTTGGTGCCACTGACTGTGGCGCCAAGACTTAACTCAGGTTTTAAATCATAACATTTCTTCAAGCCTTCATGGTTCTCCTGTGAAGACCTCACAGCCACCTCAGGTTTAGGCTGCTTTTGAAGGATGATTATGTTTATGCTGCCCAGTTCCTTGGGACTCTGGGCTATTTACAAACTGCTAAAAACACTTGAAAACCACACACACAAAAACTAATAAAAATGGTAGAGATAACACCTGGGTAGAACAAAGAAAATGAAGAAAAGGGAGCTTCAATAATACCCACTAGAGTCTTGTGCAACAAAGGCCTTTAACACCCTTCCAAACACCAGAAAGGTGGGGGCAATTTGAATCGGGGGTGGGGGTGGGGGAACCAGCAGATAAGATGCAATGGAAGAGGTGCCAAGCTAGAAAGCATTTTTATTTCTGCCGCCTTCGTATGGCTGCTGTTTGTTTTTTAAAGTCATGAGCTGAAAGGTGAAGATAAATTACCAGGAAAGTTGGGAATGACAGAAAACAAGGACTCTTTCATTGGACAAACCTGGGAGAGCATCACTTTTGCTTGATTATTCAGACAGCCAATACTCTCATAGGATCTTTGAACTCTGCAATTGCCATACTGCGGAACAGATATGCACTCGGGGATGGCATTTTAGGGCTAACATTTAGCTGCCGCATCATTAGTTCCCTTTCAGTGGTTGCTCAATCCCATCTCCTGTACTGAAATTTATACTTCTCTTTCTTGCTACCCTCGTGCATTGACCAACTCTGTGCATCTACATATTTGCACAACTTATATTCAGCCTAGAATGTGAACCTTTTAAAGGTAGGGAGCTCAGTAGGAATACGCTTTTGTCTCTTGCACTGAACCTGTCCACACTTGATCCTGGTTAATTTTCTTTGATTACCTTAAATGTTAGATCAGCAGGTATGACGGCAAGGACGGAGCTATAGAGGCAGGCCAAGATTGGCATCCAGATTGAAGCCTTGTGCGTTTGATCTTGAAGAACTAAGCAGGGCCGGTAACCAAGTATGGAAGGCCATTAGAAATCCCAGAACTGTTAGCTGGGCTGAAAACATAACTCGGAGAAAGGCTGTGGCAGATCATTTCTGCTTTGTCAATAAAGCCACACGAACCAACAAAAGTAGAGCTCAACTTGTAGAAGGCCATAACTTTTCACTTGAGTCAGTATAATCCTATATGTATATATTTTTACGCCATGGTGCTTGCTTCCAGAAAGTCAGTTACAGAGCTATCAAGTAGGTGGACCAATGCATATAACTTATACGGAGCAGGATAAAAATAGGCGAGCCGTGCAATTTGTTTCATGGATGCTTTATATTCTTTTATGTCTTAACAAGGGATGGGAAGTTTTGCAATGACTTCCCTAAAAGCATGCTGCTTTTAACAAAAACATCTAAAGAAACCTAATTGTAATAGGAGAAACATGAAATAACGCTTTCATAAGGAGTGGTGGATAGTCTTACTAAAATTCATGTCTCTTTGTAAACATCAGTTGGGCAAAATGGGGCATTATACCAATTTTGTTCAACCTACCTCAAATGGGCTAATTTACAGAATGCATCCAAAGTTAATGCTACACCACACCACTCTTACAATCAGCTGTAGTCGTGTGATGGTCATTTTCTATACTCCTTGCCAGCTTCCTCCATGTCAGTGGAGAAGTTGGCAGGAGGTGCAAATGTATTTGTGATTGCCATGCTCCCTGCCAGCTCCCTCAAGCGCAGTTGATAATAGAAAAGCCGACAGAGAGGGTTGCAAGTTGCTTGGGTAAGTTTCATCACTCGTGTAACTTCCCCAGCCTCTCTGCACTTGTGCCATGACAGC